TTGGCATGATATGGTCACGTGGGGTAATGCTATTAGCTATTACTTTTCTGTTAATTAAGCTTCTTCTCCATTAGTGCCTAATCGGATCAACTCGCCACGGTTTGCCAAGCAGGTACTAAAATGTGATGTTGTCACACTGCATGCCACCAATTGGCTGGTCAGAGCATCACCTGATGAGTCATGTGAGCGTCTTCTTCACAAAAATCAAAACCGCCATTTTTGAAACCCGGCAACGGAGGAAATTGATACAAAAAACCAAGTATTCGATTCTGATTTGATTCAATTCAATTCAATTCAATTTTGACTGAGACAGTCAGTAATATTACAATTCTGATCATTTATCAGTACATATCCATATTTTTATATCTATATATAAAAACAAAGCTGACACTTGTGAGACTTCATCAAAGGTGTACAGCAGATGCCTTTGTGTCAAAGTAACTGAGCATAAAACACAGAAAAACATGAAGCTTTTCCTGGCCTGGCTTTTTATAGCAGATAACCTTAAAAATATTTTGCAATAGAACAAAAAATGAAGAAAACCATGAAGCAACATGTGAATATTACCTGATGCTATTGAAGTGAAGCAGAGCAAAGTTACAAAAGTTTTATTAGAGACACATCGTTTTGCAATTTGGCATAATTTTTAAAAAGTTTACACTTTTTTGGTGAACAGAACAAATGAGGCTTTCTTGTCGGAGGTCATTTCTGAAAGAAAAAAAACTGCATCTGACAGCACTGCACACAACGGTAGACTGGCGCGTAATAAGCTAGCGAATAATGCAGAAAACAGAGATTTGAGAGAGAAAGAGCTGTGCAGGAAATGTGATTTTATGGTGATGGAAGCAAAACAGCAAAGGTAAGAGGGAATTAATGAGGATTTTTATCAAAAGTGAAGTGTACTTTTGATCTTCTTTTGCTGCATGTTCAGTGCATTTTAGTCGGAGAGTGTCAAAACCTGCAGCATCAGAATCTGTGAGCTGCCGGCTTTGAGAGATGTCCATATATGGATCGTTCACCATGTTGGAAGGACGATCTGTGCTTTGTGTTTACAACTTTGTGCAGAATCTGTTTACATGCTCTCATTTTGTGTTTGGTGGTTGTTGAAATAGTTTTGTGAGGCTTTACCTGAGATTCTGGGATTTCTGGCAAAATACATTTATATTTAATAATCAGTTCAGGATTTCATGAATCGACATTGCATTATTCAAGCTAAAATCTATTTAAATTGGAAAATAAAATTTAAACCCACCCCTACTGGGTTTTAATGGAAAACCAGTAAATCTGAGTTGAGTTGATTCGAGTAGCTACTAGGGGGAAATGGGCTTTTTATACACTATGCTATTTTGAGAAATGCCATTTTGAATTTTCCCGGCGTGCATAACTGATAATTGTTATTAATAGTTGTAGATATTTAGCAAGAGCTTATGTATATGTAAGGACTATCTTGTGTGGTCTCACTAGGTTTTATTTAGTGTTACAGAAATTTCCACCTACTAAACACTCGGGTTATAACTTGGCCAAGTTTGACCCTTCGAACAGCTGCTGCCGTCTGCTCTTGTGCTGCTGCTGCAGCCTTGTGACCGGAGACCTGGACTTGAGTCATACCTAAGTCAAAACAAAGACATGAAACCACATTTGGACTTGACTGCTGCAAGCCCTGACCTTCAGGAAACTTTAAAAAGAAGTTTTGCTTCATGAAATCATTTAAAAAAGATTTTAAAAGGAGTTTTGATTCAGAATGTGCCTTCACAGGAATGAATAAGTTTAAAAATAATTGCAAATTCAGAGTTAAACATTTATTGTGCTGGCATAATAAATTGTTTTACATCTTTGCACATGTCACCACAGCTAAGACTCGAGGTGCTGAGTGACTGCAGCTTTCTGCTTGAGCCAGTAGTGATATATTTTCATCAGTTCTTATTAAACTCTCTGGCTAACTGGACCTCAGAGATGACATCAGCTGTCAGAGTGCTGGTGTACACAGCTGTTACCGATCAATATTGTATTTCCACACAAGACCACAAATTAACATCAATGTAGAATAATTCAAAAGCAGCCGCTGAAATTTTTTGTATAATAATACAAACAACAACATAAGCATTTGAGATTAAGCAGATAGATGCGCTTATCTCCGAGTCATTTGTCAAAAATATCAAAGCTTATTAAAGTGGCGGTGCTGTGGAGAGATTTATTAACCCAACATGTGTAGCAGCAAGGTTTGCCCGGTGTGGGTTACTGCGAGCACTTTGTGTCCTCGCTTTCTGATGATTTAAACTCCATCTGTCTGTTGCTGGGCATGTAACAGAGTGGGTGTAGGGACTCCCACTAACGGCTGAGGTAACCCCACACTCATGTCATATGACTTGTCAGTCAGATGTTGGCTGATGGCTGGCATCCAAAAGGGGTGATGATTAGGATTCTCATGACCTCACTGCGCACGGTGGCAGTAACACTGTTGTCTGAAATAGAAGCTGGCTGAAAGACAACTTTAACAATCTCCAAAGAGGAAGAAAGTTTGGTCAGTAATCAAATTAGAAAAAAAGAGCCAAGTAGTAGATCTCAGTGAACATTCTTTTGTATTTGAAATTGTTTCAAAAGTGAAGATTTTATATAAGTCTACAATTTTTAATATATTTAGCACCTATACAACATCTACTCCAACAGTTTCCTGTGGCACCCAATGTGGTCTTCCGCTGCTGTACCCCATTCAGAGATGCTCTTCTACATACCTTGGTTGTAACTAGTGTCTATTTGAGTTTTTGTTCTGAAATACTCAGACCGTCCATGCCATGTTCAAAGTATTTTACATCACCTCTCTTCCCCATTCCGATGGTTAGTTTAAACTTCACCAGGTCATCTTGATGATATCTACATGAATAAATACACCACATTGCATTAACAATTAGCTGAACAGGTGTTTCTTTTTGGTTGTTTTGTTGCTTTAATTAATTTATTATTAACAATAATATAAAATTATGCACAAAAGGAATTACTAATGTAAAAAAAAGAGTGGTTTTATTTATATATAAATATATGTGGTGGCCCCTAGAGATAAAGCACGTACAAACTCCAAAGCACATTTCTAGCATTAACTGAACTTCCAAAACAGAGCTACCTAGATCACTTAAATTACACAATTGAAAGCATATGTGTATTGTTTGTGTATTTATACACAAGCACTCATATATATCCAAATAATTAAAAAAAATGTTCATTTACCTGTTACTACCACACACCAAATCCGGTTACTGGTACTTCCTGGCTTGTGTAGCCACTAGGTAACAAAAGACTGCAGAGTCCTGGCACCGGGTCTCTGTGGCGTTTAAACCCCAAAACACGCTGCGCCAAAAATTGGTCCACCCCAAGGATCGGGTCCCCCGACACAAACAGAGTAACATAGTTTACGCTGTTAAGTACCAGGAGGATTGCCAGGATTTATACATTGGGGAAACCAAACAACCTCTGGCGAAGTGGATGGCACAACACAGAAGAGCTACCTCGTCAGGCCAGGACTCTGCAGTCTATTCACACCTACAGGCCAGTGGACACTCTTCAAGGATGAGGATGTACACATCCTGGACAGGGAGGAACGCTGGTTTGAGCGCGGAGTCAAGGAGGCCATTTACGTGAAAAGGGAAAGACCATCTCTGAATCGAGGAGGGGGCCTAACGGTACATCTTTCGCCATCTTACAATGCTGTGATTGCAGCCATTCCCCAACTCTCTGTGAATGGTACTCATGGCCATTGATCAGTGGGTTTTGGTTAGTGGTTGTTAATCAATGGTCATGAGAATCTGTATAATTAAGATTAAGGAACTGACCTCCCAGCCCATTGTTCCTTCAGTGGGCTGGTTTCAGTCATTATGCAAATGTACTGTTTATAAGATTGGGAAAACCTGCAGTCAGCTGAGACTGAAGAAGTCACTTGGATGAGTGACGAAACATTTCTCCCACAAAACGCTACGTCCAGATGAACAGAATCAACTTTTGGAGATTTACTTTCCTGGATTATTGAGAATGCATCAAAACGAAAAGATAAAGCATTTTCAAGCTTATTCCCTTGCTGGTCATACAATCTAACATTACAACCGACCGCACAGCAAGTACGAACCATAGCTGGTGTTATCTGTGTGCTTTTGCTCCTCTTTCGCTAGCGCTTTGTTTGGCCCAGAAACAAGGCGCCTCAACCAAGCCCGCTCTCGTGACATCGCGCTCCAAAGCCCTATTAGAAAAAACCTGTGGTCCTATTGGGCAGGAGAGGCAGATGGT